TGCACCCCTATGTTTATCGCAGCACTATTTACAATAGCCAAGAAATGGAAGCAACCTAAGTGTCCATCAGTAGATGAATTGATAAAGAAGATGTGGTACATATACACAATGGAATATTATTCAGCCATAAGAAGAAAACAAATCCTACCATTTGCAACAACATGGATGGAGCTAGAGGGTATTATGCTCAGTGAAATAAGCAAGGCGGAGAAAGACAAGTACCAAATGATTTCACTCATACGTGGAGTATAAGAACAAAGAAAAAACTGAAGGAACAAAAGAGCAGCCAAATCACAGAACCCAAGAATGGACTAACAGTTACCAAAGGGAAAGGGACTGGGGAGCATGGGTGGGGGGGAGGGATAACGGGGGCTTGGGGGGGAAGAAAGGGGCCATTAAGATAAGCATGTATAATGTGGGCGGAGGCATGGGGAGGGCTGTGCAACACAGAGAAGACAAGTAGTGATTCTACAGCATCTTACTACACTGATGCACAGTGACTGTAATGGGGTTTGTTGGGGGGACTTGGTGAAGGGGGTAGTCTAGTAAACATAATGTTCCTCATGTAATTGTAGATTAATGATATCAAAAAAAAAGATTAGTGTGGAGTTTGAGGTCACTCAACCTCTCTATCATTAACACTACTCAAGAGTCAAATACATGAAAGCAACAAAACAGAGTAAACAAAACTTCCTCACTTTGACAACTGTGGTTATTCCAAATTTGTCTGCTTTCCCATGTCCACACACTCTCCACTGGGATAGCCTGCCTTCTGACCTACCTCCCTGCCTATTATACAAATCCCTGAAATCAGCATTCCCACTTTAAAGTAAAGACTAGGGGAAAATAGTGCTACGTAATTCTAGAGAGGTCACCCATGACAACTAGCTTTACTAATCACCCCAGTTGTATAGCCATACATCCATAAACATAGAATACAAACATCACTACATGTTTGAGCAAAATCAATTCTCTGAAAGCTGTGTTTTTTAAATCAGCCATCAAAGCATTAAACTCTTAACTAGCATTACAGAAAAAAACAAATATCACAAATTTGATCAATGTAAAAAATATAATTAACAGAAGTAACTAAGGGCAAGGAGTATGTGGTAAATTCTTCCTCATTCATACTAATACCAGTGTCACTAAAAGTTCATGTGCATAATGGGATTAAGCAGAAAGTATTTAGAAACTTTTAAAAAAATTTGACAGTGATTTTATGAGTAAAAACCTAATAATCTACTTGCTGGAAAGTCAACAAATCCTACCTCAAGGTCAATAAATCAAGAAACAAGAACTGTAAGAACTAAAAAACAAATTGGTCAAAATTATTCCCCTCAGTCAGGACCTGGGGGTTCCAGAAGGAATTATATTACAGTGGTTCTCATTCAGTATTATGTCTGTGTGTTTCTGTCTATTTTCCCTACAGTTTGTGAACTTCTTAGGAGCAGAAATTAATAATTTTACCCCCCATGCATATGAGTCATTTATTATATGTAGTAAATTAAAATAAAAAATCTTAATTGAATAAATGCAATACTTAAAAAAAGTCATTAAAAACAAAAACAATTTAGTTTTGACAGCTATGTTAAGAGGAAATTCTATGCAGATGATAAGCTTTGGAGTTAGCCTGGATTCTTTGTCACTGACTAGCTGTGTAGACTAAGTTTTAGATTCCTTATCTTAAGACACACTACCTACACTGACAGAGTTAGTATGAGAAATGAATGAACTAACTGCACATAGAAGGCTCAGCACAGTGCTTGACATAGACGTAATACATGTTACCTGTCATTTTTCTCTAAAACTTAAAACCTGAAGAATAATCACAAACCCAACCAATTTTACTTACATATAATCCACTTTTCCATTGCATCCAAAGAGAGGTATTCACAAGGCATCTTAAAAAGACAAAACATAAATTTATGGTTCAAAGATATTTTTTAAAAATCCATATTTAGTCACTTTCCTTGTCTTTCACCTGAAAATTCTATTTCAATTTTTAGCTCAAATACCACGCAATGAGAGTTGTGCCCCTTCACATTTACACGACCCTGAAACTTCTCTTCAAAAAATACTATTGCTAAATTGTTTTCAATATTCTAAGTGAAAAATTCCAAATTTCCCAAATCTACTCAGTTTGCATATTCCAAAGGACAGTATTTTAACCAAGTTAAAAAAAGATTTATGTACACAGATGCTATCTCACCCAAATCGGTAATTACATTTGTGTATGTTCTCCATATGCATACCATCTATATTAATATACACAGAGAAAAGATTGAGGAAAAATAGAATAACAATTTTATGTAGTTAAATAAGATCTGGATGATTTTTGTTTCCCTGTAATTTTCTGCATCTTTCAAATTTTCTACAATAGAACAAAACAAACACTTAAACTTAAAAGAAAGTACTCTTACAACTAATGGTATTTAGTTAACATCAGAATCTAAGAATAAAAAAACCTAAATAATACTTAACTACTGAGCATTTTGTAATGCTTTACTGATAGGTTAATACTAATTAGAAGAAAAACTCTAAGAGCATTGCTTAACTGCTATGTTTTTGTAAAAATCAACTTTATTATTTTTATTCAAAAAGGGAAATATGGACCCATACAGTGTCAGACTGTGCAGGATTGAGCATTGTACTGGGTGCACTGATGAGACTCAGTAATTGGGCATTTCTCCACTGGTCAGCTGACAGATTCCTTCGAGGATACACCATCTGAAGAGAAATTAGTGCATCTGAAAGAGACTAATTAAAACAGGAGAAAAGAAAGTTGAGGAATAAAACGTTTTTTTTCTTTTTCAATTAAATTCAAGCTACAAACTGTTGTGCGTTTCTAACTGTACCATCCTAAGACAAAGAACCTATTTACAACTATGCTCCATATAACAACTGAGGTGGGTCCTGGCTACCCACTTCTAGATCTTTTTTTTTTATTATTTCATAAAGCTGGAAAGGAACTTAGCTCAGGAAATCACGTTACTTTCTTAAAAGTTAAAATGTTTGGCTTGGGATCTTTATTTCAAAAGGGGTGGAGAGTCTAGTGTCATCCTTCTCTGTATCATTTTCTACTCTGATGGCTCTCAGTGAAAGAAAAAGCTACTAGGGTTATATTACTAAATTAACAGAGTTCAGCATGTTTCCTGGTTCTCCAAAGAATGCCTTATAAAAATAATTCACTGTATTCTCTTAATTACTTCTATTTGCCATTTAGTCTATTAATTACAGCTTTATCATCAAGGTATTTAATGTTTCACCTCATCTACTCTTTGCTTGTTTTTATCTGTTGTTTGATATTCATCCTGCTTCCTAAAAATTCTGTACAGTGATTCTTCCATCCAGCTGCACATAAACTGCCAGAGTTGTTTGTTCAGAATAGAGATTCCAGGGCTGTATCTGAAACTTAGTGAACCAGAACCTCTAGGAGCAGAACCCAAGAATCTATGTTTTTATTACATTCTACCAGTGATTCTGAGTATGTTTCAGAATTAAATTAATTTTAACAAATCCTAGCAAATACCTGGCTGCCTTTCTATCAAAACTGTGAGATACCACAGAACAGGGTAAAAATCAAGATGGGATATAACTGGTCTAATCCAAATGGATAACTCTCCTCAAGAAATTATAAATAGTCACACTCAGTGAAATAAGTCAGGCAGAGAAAGACAAATACCAAATGATTTCCCTCATTTGTGGAGTATAACAATGAAGCAAAACTGAAGGAACAAAACAGAAGACTCACAGACTCCAAGGAGGGACTAGTGGTTACCAAAGGGGAGGGGTAGGAGAGGGGTGGGGGAGGGAGAAGGGGATTATGGGGTATCATGATTGGTGCACATGGTATGTGTGGCATCATGGGGGAGACAGTGTAGCACAGAGAAGATAAGTAGGGACTCTGTGACATCTTACTACACTGATGGACAGTGACTGCAATGGGGTATGGGGGGGATTGATAATAAGAGTGAATGTAGTAACCAGATTGTTTTTCTTGTGAAACCTTCATAAGAATGTATATCAATGATACCTTAATAAAAAAAAAAAAGAACTTAATAGTCTAGTGCATGCTAATAACTATGGAGAACTTAAAAAGAGATCCCACATCCTTTAAGGAAATTTTAATCACCTAAGTGGGTAAAGAACCAAATCTGAAGTGGCTAAATAAACACAAGGCCATATCTGACTGGCAAAAAGTAAGTAATAGATCCAGAAAGAAAACAGGAATAGGGAGACACTCCTAGGTAAGAACACAACACTACCAAAATCAGAGACAGATAAGTGTGATACGCTCAGCACTCTGAGGAATCCTTATACTTCCATCTATAATGATGATTTTTTACTTCAAAACTGGTTATCATCCACCAGGTTCTTCAAACTAATGATTCAACTAACTCTAAGACATTAAACCTATATAAATTTGTGGGTATAATCAGCATCTAAAGAAGTTAAACTGGAAAACCCATCCTCAGAATGTTCATGGGAGTAAGACAATTGACAAAAAATTCATGTTAGCCCCCACAGACTCAAATAAAATAGTTACTATTAAAAAAAAAAACCCCACAGACTCATATAAAATAGTTACTATTAAAAAGTCTGTCATCAAAGTGTACAAAGAACCACAGTTCTTGTATCCTGAGTTTTAGCTCTGATTTTGCCACTATTGTTGCCAAATGCTCACCTTGTCATGTCACTTCTCCATGCTTCGATTTCCTTATCTATAAATACTGAGGCTGTATGAGATCCCTACAAACTTCCTTGATGTGCTTAGAAACTATGGCTTGAATCAGTCCTATTGCAGACAAGTCATAACGGCAAGATCCCTTAGAACCAAAATTATTTCATTAAGAACTATCTTTTTATATATTGTAAAAAATATGCTTCAAATTATTTCCATAAAACTCACACAATTTTTTGTAAGAGCCTATATTAAATGTAACTAAAATGTATCAAATACTATGTATCTAAATACTTTTTATGAAACAGCTCATTTAATCCTTGTAACAACCATATGAGATAGGTACTACTATTAATCCATTTTTATAGATATCAAAACTGAGGTATAGTGAAGTTGGTTAACTTACTTGCCCAATATTACACAGTTAGTAACTGGCAGAGTTGGTATTGCACTCAAGAAGTCTCGTATGAAAGTAGACATTCTCAAATACTAAACTTCACTACCTCTACACCCTATACTGAAGCTAAAACTATAATGGATCAATATATCTCTAGCTTTCTGTGTACTATTTGGAACCTAACTGATTAGTTCTTTGTTTACAATTAGATAAAACCATGAACAACTATTATTCACACCTCATTATAATTATTTTCCTGAAAGAAGTTCATCTTTATACTACCCCCTATACTTATTAAAACATGTCTAAAAACCAGCTCTTACCTTGCTATGGGGTACAAATTCTTCCATCATCTTCTTTAAAGGGTTTTCATAATCCACGATCATCTGACCAAGACGTGGGTATTCTCGGTCACTTAAAACAGACATACCAAATTTCACTGAGTTATAAGCCATCAAATTGAAAATTTCACAAACTGTTTTAAAATGTATGTATACCTTGCTCCGTGGGTCATTTCATGCGCATAGTTGTATAATCCAATGATTGCCTTCCTTTCTTCAATTCGAGACAGCAGGATCATTAGTGTTGTATAGGTTATGATCAAATCTAAGTAGTTTTTTGTTAAATCAAAGTTTACAGTCTAGAAAAAAAAACCAAGTTTAATTCCTTCTATTCTGCAAACTTTTCAACACACATACACACACACAACTTCATGGCAACTACTCAAAGCTAGTAATTTCTACAGTTATTTATTTTATCTTTATTTCTGAAATTCTAATTCCTTTCACCAAAAATATGCCAAATATTTGGGAGTTACAGATAACAACTATGTTTGTGACACAATTTTATGGATGAAATAGAGAATCACCCTATTTTAAATTGGTAACTGTTTACAAGGGTAACCAAAGCCAGAATAAAAAGAAATACTAGAGCCAATCTTGGTAAGCAAGAACAAGGAATATTAAATATGTAAATAAAAAGGCTCGTCATGAAGTCAATGGAGACATTTTTCACTTTAACTTCTTGCACCTAGCAATTGTCTTACTAAGGAAGTCTATCAAATTTGCCTTCTACAAAGAAAAATTACTATTTACTTAACTTTAAAATTGGGCCTACTAAAATAAAACACTGAAATTAACAATATATGCAATGTTTACTATATTTAGTGGTAATCAAACAAGTAAAAATAGAGAATGCTAGAATTCCTTACCTTAAAAAAAACTAGCTACAAAACAAGCCAAATAAGCAGTGCTAAAATTTTATACACTAGTCTTATAAGTTTTCTCTTAAAAAAAAGTTCAGTTCCCTTAGTTCTACTAGGAAGAGAAGAATTGGAATTCTTTTCTGAAAATAATACTTACAATATCAAAGAAGACTTGGCAAACATCAATAGTATTCAGCAATTCACAAACATGGTCCTGAAAATAAAATCTTCTTTTAATTTTTTACCTATATAAATATACTAAATTCAGAAAACACAAATAAAATGTATTTTAAATTTTAGTTCTAGAATAATTCTAATTTTATTATCTATAAGTTACAAAGCAATCTATACAATTAATATCAATCTACCTTGAAAAGTTATATTTTTGTATTAAAATACAACACACCTTAAATTCCATAACATCTACAAATGTGAAGTAGTATAATGCCAAATTTTTCAGAATCTCAGATTTTTCTTTCTGAAGTTGTGCAAGCTGTTGCTGTAAAAACAAAATTAAAATGAATTGCTCATTGAGAACACAAATATTTAATTTTACTACAAACTATCTTCTTTTATGATTGCTATATGGAAGCACAAGCTTTTAGAACAATATTTCTAGATGACTAAGGCTTTTTTAAAAAAACCAAAATACTTGAGACAGCAACTGCTAACAGTGGTCAGCAACTGACAGTGTGAGGCTATAAAACGAATCAAAGCAGATTAGTACCAACTGCACTACTATTAAGGAAAATAGGAAATGTTAGGAAAAAAATAATTTTCAAATGAACTCTTTAAAAAAATTAAAACAATTGATGAGCATGATCACATTACTAGCAGTGGGAGAAAAGAAGGTGAAAAACATTATAACTTACACTACAAAAACAATGTGCTTTATAAGTTTGGAACTTACCAAAAAGAACATCCAGGCAAAGCCACGTTACGCATGCAAAATAAAATGTAGATACAAACATAAAATACAGTAACGGTTCCCTGACCAGATCACAAAACACAATAACACACTAAACAAAAGCAAAAACCACAACAAAAAATAAATGAGAAAGTAGCAAAAGTAGAGTTAAGACACTGGTAAACATATGGAAGAGGGCAATGAGAATACAAAAGATAAATATTATCTAAATCAACTTATTATTGAATTTATAAAAGTCCCATGTTTTCTTTTTAAAACAACTGTTAATATAATTTCTAAAAGAATCCAGCCACATTTAATGCCCTACATCATAAGACTGCCAGAATTCCAGTAAGTCTCTAGAATCTTGATACTTTGAGTGTAGTCTACAGAATAGGAACTTTCACATCATCTAGGAGCTTGTTAGAAAAGCAGAATCTCAGGCCCACCTCAGACGTACTGAATCAAAATCTGCCTTTTAACAAGATTCCCAGTTGACCTGAATGCACATTAAAGTCCAAGAAGAATTAGTTATCTAGAACATGAGAAAACTAGAAAATGAGAAAGTGGTTCAAAATATCAAACTTACTATCAAAGTCTACACAATTTTGAGGCTCTCATGCAGTTCTTACTTATAAAGGACGGTTAAGGATATAAAGTATATATAATTATACATTATAAATGTATAATACAGTTATGTATAATTGTACTGAACCATTATTAAAAGCCAGAAAATTTATGGCAGTGAGTATGACATCAAGGGATAATAAAAAAAAAAACTATTGAAGACTATAAAACAGCAAGCATAGCAGTCTGGTAGACCCAGCTATTGAGGGAAAACTATTTAGGATAAACTGCCCTAAGTACTGCAGTCCCTGAAGACATTTAAAAAATGACTGTTTGGAGTACCAAACTATGTTTTCTACCTTTATCTTGCATCTACCTACCACTTCAGCATTTTATTAAAAATAAAAATAATAATAATAATAGGAGAAATGTGGGATCAACATATAAATCAAGTACAAAAATCAAACAAATATTCATATTTGACCTGATTGTTTATAGGTCATATTGCATGATCAAAACCGAAAGTTTCTGTGATGACTGCCCTTGTACTGTTCACCATGTAAGAATTTATTCACTATGTAAGAATTCGTTCACCATGTAAGAACTTGTTCGTTATGCTTCAGAAGATTGGAGACTGACGAGAATTAGGCTTGAGATGGATTAATGATTGTACATTGAGCGTTGACCCCCCTATACTGAATTTTATTGTTGTTAACAACCATTTGATCAATAAATATGAGAGATGCCCTCTCAAAAAAAAAAAATGACTGTTTGGAAAATATGCATAAATGAAGTACTCATTACTTCCTCAAATGCCAGACAAATTAAGGTATATACTTACAGTGATATATAACTATTTCTAGCTTTATCTATGAAAGTAGCTGACTTTATTTTGAACAATATGTTATAAAATAATTCTGCTTATATGCACATTTTTTTATCATCACCACTCATATCAAGCAGATAAATATTTATTTTAAAATGACTGTTTCCTCAGATCATATTATCTCAACCTTGTTCAACATTAAACATTTATGACTGTATCTTAGTCCTCTTTCCTGCTTTTAAATACTTTAAATTTGAGTTTTGAAATATAACAGGTGACAGAGTCATAATAATAGGAAAAGAAGTAAAGAGTATATATTCAGTTGCTACTGGGCTTAATTATTAATAGTGCCTCTTTTCAATTTCAGTATCCTAGTTTGGACAAAAAAATGACACAGAAACCATCTCATTATGGACCTTAGCGATCTTTTACATAAACCTTCATTTTACATATTAAAAAGAACCTACAGAACTTAAAAGAACCTTCCCAAAGTTATATAACTATATAAGGATAGGGCTAGGATTGGAATTTTCATTTCCTTAGTCCTAACAGTGTTCTTTCTACCATTCTACATGCCCACTCCCTTTTCAATAAAATCTGTTTATATGCACATTTTTTTATCATCACCACTCACATCAAGCAGATAAATATTTATTTAAAAATGATTGTTTTCTCAGATTATACTACCTCAACCTTGTTCAACATTAAACATTTATGATTCTTGGTCCTTTTTCCTGCTTTTCAATACTTTAAATTTGAGTTTTGAAATATAACAGGTGACAGTAGAGTCATAATAATGACTTTTATTTTCAACTTTATTTCCTCACGTACCATATTTAAGAAGCCTCCACAATGGCTAAAAAAAATTTACTGAGCTAATGGATGTCTGAATTCAAAATAGTGAAGTTTTCAAGGCCTTACACAATTTGGCTGTAAATTACTTTTCCCATCTAAATTTCCCCTGTACTCTTTCACACACTATACAGAAGTCAAAATCTATTCACTATTTTCTAAACACATGTTTTCTTTACTGTTTTTCCTCTATTGAGATGTCCAAATTCCACCACTCATGTATGTCCAAACCCTACTACTTCTAAATCACTCAGTTTAAATGTTAATCCCATTTTCAAGAAATTATCCCTGATTCAACTTCCCTGAATGCAAAGAACATCTCCCTCCTCTATATATATGCTATTTCTAATAGTATCATATTCTTCTTTGTATCATAGCTATCCCCAATACTCTTAGACAAGGTATCAAACTCAATTTTTTAATCTTTACAGCCCTTATCATACAACTATGAACATAAAGAAGTATCTAGTATAAACATCAGATGACTGATTAGGACAAATTTAAATGACGTTTTTATGTCAGTGGCAGATAATCTGTTTCAGTTGATGCTATAAAGTTTATCCCTTATTGTGCGACCGTGACTAAATGACTTTTCAGAACCTAATACCCTCAACATCAAAATGGGAGCTGATGTAGACAGTTAGACAAGATAACATGCATGAGAACATCTAACAATGTGCCTGGCACTCAGAAGTTTCTCATTTGGTGAGTAACAAAGGAGATTCACAGACCACTTGTTCAAATTAAACAAAAATAACAGTATTTTAAATAATTTCAATACTAGTCATAGTATTTCTAATAAGAGTTGACATAGAGCATGCACTCTTGCACTCTTTGCCAGCTGTTATTCCAAATATTCTACAAGTATCTCATAATCCTCTCAATATCTCAATGAGATAGTTACAATTATGTTTCCTAATTAATGAAAATAAATTCCATGAAGCTTCTGCATGAAAAAATCCAAGTGCAACACAAAGAACCCAAGTGTCCACAGCTCTTAGGCTTCAATTTCCAAAAAATGTGACATTTTTGTTCTTAAAGTGAAGGAAAGTAGATATGACCAAAAGTATTCAATTTTAGGTTCAACATCCAGAATAAGGTTTTCTCTCTTTGTCATCTCCTCATTTTATACTAAACAAAAAGCAGGAAATGATTTAAGAACATAGATCAGCAATAAATTATTTGATGTTACAGAATAAACATTAGAAATGTACAATTTTGAGAACAATTGATTCTATTCACTAATTTTTAAAACCGTATCATGGATACATAGATTAACTATATATATAAGCAAAATATTTTTAACAATGCTTTCATTAAAATCTCTAATTATGGATCATTATTCTTAACATCCAAGTAAATGTGTAAAAATTGAAAGTAAACAGGACATTTAGCCATGCAAAATAATGCAAAATAAGATTATATCTTTGCACTGAAAAATCTTAGTAATCTTTGTATAATTAAGAATCATTTTCCACACAAAAATAAGTATCTAAAAAATTGACTGGAACCTAACCAAGGAAGTGAAAGGCCTATACCTTGAAAACTACAAGACACTCTTAAAAGAAATTAAAGAGGACACTATTAAATGGAAATTCATCCCATGCTCATAATTAATATTGTCAAAATGGCCAACCTGCCTAAAGCAATCTACAGATTCAATGCAATCCCGATCAAAATACCAACAGCATTCTTCAAAGAACTGGAACAAGTAGTTGTAAAATTCCTATGGAATCACAAAAGACCCCGAAGAGCCAAAGCAATCCTGAGAAGGAAGAATAAAGCAGGGGGATCATGCTTCCCAACTTCAAGTTCTTTGATGCAAGTGGGACTGTATCAAAGTAAAAAGTTTCTGTATAGCAAAGGACACCATCAACAGAACAAAAAGGCAGCCTACAGTATGGGAGAATATATTCATAAATGACATATCCAATAAAGGGTTGACATCCAAAATACACAAAGAGCTCAAGCACCTCAACAAACAAAAAGCAAATAATCCAATTACAAAATGGGCAGAGGATCTGAACAGACACTTCTCCAAAGAACAAATTCAGATGGCCAACAGGCACATGAAAAGATGCTCCACATCACTAATCATCAGAGAAATGCAAATTAAAACCACAATGAGATATCACCTCACACCAGTTAGGATGGCCAACATCCAAAAGACAAACAACAACAAATGTTGGCGAGGATGTGGAGAAAGGGGAACCATCTTACACTGCTGGTAGGAATGTAAATTAGTTTCACCATTGTGGAAAGCAGTTATGGAGGTTCCTCAAAAAACTCAAAATAGAAATACCATTTGACCCAGGAATTCCACTCCTAGGAATTTACCCCAAGTATG